TGAAGAGCTTTAAACTCCTGTAGCCAGGCAAAGAGAAGGTTGGTTTTCTCTTTGTGGTAAAAGTTTTTAGCAGAAAACCAGATACAGAAGTTGTCTTTAGACAATCCCGTAGAGTCAGAACCAACCAAACATGTTTCAGTTCTGTTCAAAACCAGTACGCGGGTGGCCTAACGTATCTCTTCTAGGAATATTTTATTGTTCAAGACATAGCTTATTTCAAGAAAGTGCTTTCTTAACAAGCGAAAAACATCCACTTCCCTGCTTTTAATTGATAAGAAGTGTTAAAACTTCCCTACCTATCTGAGAAATTATGAGACACCCACTTAGGTCTGCACCCCAGAATCCGTCGCCATAAATCAGCAGTTCTCAACCTGTGGGTCGCGAACAATGAAAATACAACCTGCATATCAGATATTTACATTACGATTCATAACAGTAGCAAAATTACAGTTATGAAGTAGCAATGAAAATAATTTTATGGCTGGGGGTCACCACAACATGAGGAACTGTATGAAAGGGTCGCGGCATTAGGAAGGTTGAGAGCCACTGCCATAAATGGTAACTTACCATCGTACCTGAAAATCTACCACATCTCAGCCCCTCACTGCAAGAAAATCTTCTCTTGGAGACACCAAGATGGCAGCATAGGTAAACACCGGAGTTTGCTGCCTCGAACAACCACTTCAAAAATACAACTAAAAGATGGAACGGATATCATCCAGAACCACAGGAAGGCTGGCTGAGTGGAAATTCTACAACTAGAAGGAAAGAGGAAAGCATACCAAGACTCAGAGGAGGCGCAGTGTGGAAGTGAAATACTAAGGTACGGAGGTGCATGCGGAGCGGGCTGGCGGCTGAGGGTGCAGTTGTCGTTTTCAATCGGGAGGGAGTCTCAGGCTCTGAGCTCCAGTTCCTGGCAAGTCTCTAGGGACCCAGACTCATACGGGAGAAGTGGGACTGTCTGGCATCGGTCAGAACTTGAAAGCAGCTTTCTCTCCGAGGGGCTTGCAGCGATTACCGGGACACTGAGAAGCAGAGCCTCTGAGGGCAAGACTGAGAGCAGCCATAACTGCTAGCCCTGCCCTGTTGATCCCGCCCCACCCAAGCCCTGCAGGGAGGCTTTTGCTGGATAGCCTCAGACAAAGGCTAGATTAGCACCTACCTCCCTAGAGATCCAGGAGCCAGTAAACCCAGAGGTCAGATTGGGACCATCCAGTTTGCAGCTCCATGCAACCATAAAGGACACACTCAGGGGGCAGACTCAGTGAGCACCAAAGCCCCATTGAAGCAAGTCTTGTCCCAGAGGGGTGTCTCCAGCACAGAAGTTCTCCCACTGCAGACACAGCTGATTCTCACAGCCAATTGGCCTGGAGGTCAATTCCTCCCAGTGATAACTACAACAATCAAGGCTTAACTACAACAAGACTGTGCACAAAGACCACAAGGGGGTGCACCAAGAGTGTCCTCCTCAGGTAATTGGGGAGGCTGAACCACTGGGCCCTAGAGGACACTCAGTACAGAAAACCACTTTATCAACACAGGGAAGCATAAAAAATGCGGAGACAAAGAAAAAGGACACAAATGACAGAAATGGAGGAAAGCAAACTACTAGATATAGCGTTCAAAACCACACTCTTAAGGTTTTTCAAGAATTTTCTAGAAACTGCCGATAAACTTAATGAGATCTACAAGAAATCTAATGAGACCCTCGAGGTTGTGATAAAGGACCAACTAGAAATTAAGCATACACTGACTGAAATAAAGAATATTATACAGGCCGAAACCGGTTTGGCTCAGTGGATAGAGCGTCGGCCTGCGGACTGAAAGGTCCTAGGTTCGATTCCGGTCAAGGGCATGTACCTGGGTTGCGGGCACATCCCCAGTAGGAGATGTGCAGGAGGCGGCTGATCGATGTCTCTCTCTCATCGATGTTTCTAACTCTCTATCTCTCTCCCTTCCTCTCTGTAAAAAATCAATAAAATATATTTAAAAAAATAATAATAATATTATACAGAATCCCAACAGCAGACCAGAGGATTGCAAGAATCAAGTCAACGATTTGAAATATGAAGAAGCAAAAAACACCCAACCGGAAAAGCAAAATGAAAAAATAATCCAAAAATATGAAGATAGTGTAAGGAGCCTCTGGGACAGCTTCAAGCGTACCAACATCTGAATTATAGGGGTGCCAGAAGAAGAGAGAGAGCAAGATATTGAAAACCTATTTGAAGAAATAATAACAGAAAACTTCCCCTACCTGGTGAAAGAAATAGACTTACAAGTCCAGGAAGCACAGAGAACCCCAAACAAAAGGAATCCAAAGAGGACCACACCAAGACACATCATAATTAAAATGCCAAGAGCAAAAGACAAAGAGAGAATCTTAAAAGCAGCAAGAGAAAGAAAGTCAGTTACCTACAAGGGAGTACCCATACAACTGTCAGCTGATTTCTCAACAGAAACTTTGCAGGCCAGAAGGGAGTGGTAAGAAATATTCAAAGTGCTGAATAGCAAGAACCTACAACCAAGATCACTTTATCCAGCAAAGCTATCATTCAGAATTGAAGGTCAGATAAAGAGCTTCACAGAAAAGAAAAAGCTAAAGGAGTTCATCACCACCAAACCAGTATTACATGAAATGCTGAAAGGTATCCATTAAGAAGACGAAGAATAAGAAAAAGGTAAAGATACAAATTATGAACAACAAATACATATCTATCAACAAGTGGATCTGAAAATCAAGTGAATAATCTGATGAACAGAATGAACTGGTGATTATAATAGAATCAGGGGCATAGAAAGGAAATGGACTGGCTATTCTTGGGGGGGAAAGGGGTGAGGGGGGTGCGGGAAGAGACTGGACAAAAATCGTGCACCTATGGATGAGGACAGTGGATGGGGAGTGAGGGAGGAGGGTGGGGCGGGAACTGGGTGGAGGGGAGTTATAGGGGGGAAAAAGAGGAACAAATGTAATAATCTGAACAATAAAGATTTAATTAATAAAAAAGAAAATCTTCTCTCATCAATACATACTAATGCAAGAAAGCCTATATTTGGATCAAAAATGAAAAACGAACACCAAGAACTTTTATAGTGAAGCAGACTTAAGTGAGTTATGTTGTTGTTGTTGTTGTTGTTGTTGGCATACCTTCCCAGCCTCTTCAAATCTAAAGGAGATTTGGCATTTTGCAGCCAATCTTACTGCAAAATGCCAAAAGGTGACTTTGTTGAGTTTTCCCTCGCTTTTTGGTCTGTTCTTAGAAATTCCGGTTTCCGACTTAAGGGAAGGAGCCAAACCCCATAATCACCACTCAGACACTTGGGGGTCGCTCCTTCCAGAACATCCCAGACACCACACACTCCTTGTGGGGATTTCGCTGAATTGGCTCCCCTCCTCCCCTCCCCGCCCCCAGCCCCGCAGACTCCAGGTCGCCATGTCAGACTGCACTGTCCACGTGAAAACAAAGGTCTGTGCAGAAACGGCATCGCCAAACGAAGGGGTCCCGAAATCCGGGATAAGCTCTTGCGCTGCTTTCAGAAACGCGTGCCCCTCCAACACTCTCTGACATTCGCTCCTTGGCGAAGTCACAACACGCAGAGGACAAGCCCTGCGGTTCCCTCCAGAGAGAAATGACGGCCGGGGCCTGCAGAAACGGCCACCCTCCTTTTGTGGAAGGGAAGCTGTGCAAATCTGATAAAGTAAACGTTTCATAAAACCAACGGCTGTTTAAATCGTAGCACTAAATTGTTTGTGTATAAATATTACCCTTTATATTCCACTGGAGCTTTATGTAGATGAACACATTACGTTAATGACCCGCGCCTGCGCAGGGGGCGGGGCGGCGCCGCCCTCGCCGGCCAGATGGCTGCCTCTTCTTGCATGAGATTGAAAGATGCTCTTCATTCACCACGGTGCTTCCGAGGCAGATTAATGTCGCCGGCTAAATTGCTTGTGTTTTTGGAATAAAATTTAAGGAGAACTTTTTAAAGCAATCGGTGTCGCAGGTTCTGGGGCAGATTGCTCTCCAGGTAGGGCAGGCTGGTGCGAACGCGCGGTAATTAACGGGCAGGGCTCTGTGGTAATTGACTGCTTCGGGAGAGGGGAAATGTAATGACTCCTTATTAATCATGAAAAGAAACGTGCGGCTCAGCGGCCCCACAATAACCGCTCTCACGCGGAGAAATGTTAATTAATGAAAAGAACAATGATGTAAGAAATTAGCTGCATAACGCTCGCTGCTGATGGCGGTGGGGCTTTAAACGCGTTATTTAGAGTGGAAACCACAGCTCGGTGCCTTAAGTATCGGACACATGTAGCCTTGCACCGCCGAAATGCAGGGAGAAAAAAACAATCTTAAAGTGCCCCTGTCATCTTTGCTTGAAGAAGCAGACACACTCAGCCAGTACTTAGCTATTTCAGAGAAAATGGGCTCCCCTCCATCTCTGATCTGGCATCTAAAGCCACCCCAGCACAAAACAAGGCCGCTTATTAATGTCACTTAATTCCAACACTATGGGTCACGCTGACTGCGGAGGACGGGGATTGGGGGAGTATGTCCCCTAAACTGAAAAAAACTAAATTTCTGAAACTTCCCAGCTAATATAAAGAAAAACGCAGATTCACATCAGGGACTGAGTGTCTTCCATCCCTTTTAATCTAATTTTAAGTCCCTGAGAAAATACGTAGCTTCCAGTCCACCTAGCAATCCACTTCCAGAAACGGAGGCCATGTCTATTAAAGCGCAGAGCCCCGTCAGACCCTGTCCCCAGGAGTTAGGAAGCTCGGCTTATTCACAGCAGGAGGCCAGAGCTGACTCCCATCAGTCTTGGCGGTGGGGACAGGGACACGCAGGGGCAGAGCGGAGGGAAGAGAGGCACAGGTACCTTACACAACAGGCCCAGCTGGAGCCCGCCTGGGGGGGGGGGGGACCTGCGAGGCTGCCCCTTCCGTCCTCACCAGGTGGGCAAACGCACTGACTCCTCCCTCTCCCTCCCCCCAGGTGGAACGTGCTGGGGCTGCAGGGTGCCCTCCTCTGCCACTTCATCGAGCCCGTGTACCTGCACAGCATCGTCGTGGGCAGCCTGCACCACACCGGCCACCTCTGCCGGGTGCTGAGCCGCAGGGCCGAGGATATCGGCCAGCTGCCCCCCTCATACCGGCACAACCGGCCCCTCCTCAGTGGTAAGAGAACTCCTCCTCAAAAACACCCCCCCCCCCCCCAGCTGGCTGGCACAGGCAGGCCCCAAAGGGGCCAAATCGGGCAGATTCTATTCATTTTGGCCAATAGATATTTAAGACGTAGCAAGCAAAATTACAGCTACCCAAAACTTAACAAAGAAGGAAGGCCTGAATGTAGGCCGGGCCACGTTTCAGAGAATGTACAACAGGATGCGAGGCACATCCGTGCGCCCTCGTGTGACTGCAGCCGCGGTGCGCACAGTGCCCAGTGGAAGTAAAACTAATGGTGCGCATGTCCAGTAGGACAGCAACGTACCTGTCAGCAGAAGCCTTTCCGATAGAGGGCCTGCAGGTTTGAGGCTGGGGGGCGAGGGATGGTACAGGGCCTGGCTGCCCTGGGTCGTGGGCTGGACTCAGGGGCCCTGTGTTCTCCGCACCAGCAGGCTGTTAGCACACACTGGGGAAGCACATTCTGGAGGCAACGGAGAAAGCCAGCAAGCTCTGAGCATCCTACGCCCAGCTTCGCACACCGCCCATGTCATTGGACCCCAGCGTCCCCACCATGACACGGGGATGGCCAGCCCAGGCCGCCCAGCACTGCGGTGAGGGTCAGGAGGCCTGTGGCCTTGAAAGTGTCAAGTTCTGTGATCACAGGGAGGATCGGTTTGGGAAGGACACGCCTCCACTGTGACGCTGGCCTTCCACACACAGGCCCATGGGGGTTCCTGGAACTGCCTGGAGCGTGTGGAAGCCTCCTCCAGGGCCTGCAGGAAAACACCACCCCTGAGGCAGCTCCCGGCCCAAGCAGGGCGCTCTGAAGGAGCCGCTGGCACCGGCTGCAAAACCAGGCGGGTTGGCCAGGCGGGGAGTAGTGCTGGCGGGTCATGAGGACTGCAGCCACTGACTGGTTTACGGGTCTGACAGATTCTCTGACACAGAAAATTGGAAGCTGGGAGACCTGTTCCCACTGTGTGGCTAAGAGTTGGGCCTAAGATGTATTCCCAATGTTATAAAATCGTTCTAAACTATAAAATCAGGGCAGTAAGAATGCCCCGTGGGGGTGGTAGTGAGAACCAAAAGAAGTAATTCATGAAGAGCACTTACTTAACTTTGCTGAGCAAGCATTCAGGAGCAGGCTTCTCTGCTCACTCCACCACATGGGGGGGGGGGGGGAGGTTTACGGCTGTTCGTACGGAAATAATAATTAATACAAGCATAAACTCTGGGTTTCGCCTACTTACAACTGTAGACCTACTTTTGCCCCATCTGTACTTGACCAGTTCTGCATAGACCAGCCAACACCTATGGGCAAAGCCTGAGGAACACAAGCCCACTTCTTGGCTGCCCTGAACCCGAATCCTTCAGCCAGAGCTGCGTGTTTGCCAAGAGCCGCCCTGACGGTTTGCCTCTGGTCCTTCTCAAAGAGATGGGGAGAATGACAACAAACATCTGGGCTTTGCACACTCATCTTTTGAAAAACATAAAGTGCAATGGAAACTGACTGTGGGTCCTCACCTACCAGGCTGGGGGGTCGGGGCGGGTGTGTCTGAGCCTCCAACCTCAAGGCTCCGCTTTTATTTTTCTGGATCAAGAAAAATAATGTTATAACCAACGGCGGAAATCTGGAGAGGACAGGTCATGTCTTTGTTCGGCTAATGACACATTTAGCAGATGTGATTTTTAGTAGTGAGCATTCTTAGTCCACACTGAAGATTAAACTTATGATTTGCTCTACAGCCCATGACACGGTCTTGGCAATGAGAATGAAATTGAGAGATAGACCAACGGAACTGAATGTTAGAACTATGAGTTCAGACTCATGGCTTATGTTCACATGACAAAAATATCAGGAGCAGTGACAGATCGAAAAGAGCCTCGGTCATCTTCCTTCACAGCACATATTTTCCTGAAGTAGTAGGAATGATTAGTCGGTGTCTCAGAAGACTCTTCAGATTTCATATTTTATAAGCAACTGAATTTATCAGAGAGAAGTTTGCTACTTATTGTAACGCCTGCTGACAGTCGGCTGTAACCCCTGCCCAGCACCACCTCCCGGTCGTGTTCCAGACGCCTCCCTTTAGGGAACAGCAGTGGGTGTGGAGGAGACCTGTTGCCGTTTATATCCACATTTTTTCGTGAGTTTGAATTTCCAAAATATTGTCACACTAAGCTGTAGAATCTGATAGGGAATCTCCGGCCTCTTTAATTCAGGAGAAATTTCTGATAGTAATGATCATTAATAGTATCTTGCAAAATAACCCAGTGGGTAGAAGCAAACATTTTCTTTCATGCAGATAGTAAGTAATTTGCAATATTGTCATATTAAAACAAACACAGAAATATTATGGAATGGCCTACAACTTTTTCAAAAGTGTTTAAGAGCTTCAAAAAAGCATCCGACAGACTCCTTTGTCCTCCAGTCACCAGAGATAGGAATTTATCCTCCTGTTCCCTTGAAGGAATTGGAGATTATATATCTTGTTAGAAAAATCTAAAAACAATGCTAATATCTTTGCATGAAGATCAAAAAATTAGATTCAACAAAGAAATATTTAATAAGATATTTACATACATTAGCACTAATCTCCCGAAGCAAATTAGCTCATAGCTTATAAAAAATTAAAACTATAGAAAACACTTGTTTCAGTTGTCTGGGGAGTTCTTTATAAAATATTTGTATATTAGTTAAGTTTCATTTAATTTCCATCATGATTTCAAAGAATTGTTTCACAAAAGAACTGAACATTAAACTTAATTGCATTGCTTCTGAGAATTTTACCATTTAAGGAAAATATGTCCATTGTCAATACATTTCATTTATCCAAACCTAAGAAGTTGTTCAGCATAAGCCAGGCACTCATTTAATCATTCAACAAATATGTATTGATCTTTATGATGTGCCAGCAACAATTTTGCACTGGGAATAGAGCAGTGAATAAGATGGTCAAAAACCAACATACCTTAGGTCAGTGGTCGGCAAACTCATTAGTCAACAGAGCCAAATATCAACAGTACAACGATTGAAATTTCTTTTGAGAGCCAAATTTTTTAAACTTAAATTATATAGGTAGGTACATTGTTATTAACTTAATTAGGGTACTCCTAAGGCTTAGGAAGAGCCACACTCAAGGGGCCAAAGAGCCGCATGTGGCTTGCAAGCCGCAGTTTGCCGATCACGGCCTTAGGTGATTACATTCCAGTGGGGAAAATAAAGTATAAATGCCTTATAGAAAAGTAATGCAAACAGGCTCCAGCCAGTCTGGCTCAGTGGATGGAGCAGCTGCCCATGGACTGAAGGGGTCACAGGTTCGATTCCAAGGCATATCTCGGCTGCCGGCTCCATCCCCAGCCCTAGTCAGGGGCATGGGGGAGGCAACCAATCAATGTGTCTCTCTCACATCAATGTTTCTCTCTCTCTCTCTCTCTCTCTCTCTCTCTCTCTCTCTCTCTCTCTCCCCCCCCCCCACCCACCCACCCCACTTCCTTCCACTCTCTAAAAATCAATAGAAAAATATCCTCGAGTGAGGATTAACAAAAAACAAAATTAAATAAATAAATAATAAAAATAATGCAAAGAGGAGATTAAAAAGTGACCATCATGGCCAGGGAGGGGTCGAAGGGGGAAAAGGAGACATATGTAATACTTTAAACAATTTTTTTAAAAAAGGTATTTATCATGGAAAAAAAGTGACAGTCATTCCTATCAGAGGGTCAGGAAAGATCTGAGAGATGACATCTGAGCCAAGTCCTGGAGGATGAGAGAAGGAGCGTGTGGGAGGGACACAAAGGAAGAGGGTGGAGCGCAGAACTGAAGGGGGTTCCTGGGGCTCAGGAAGCAGGTGGGCTGCAGCTGCGCTTAGAGGAGTCGTCAGCCAGTCTGCACCCCACAGGAGCAGGCCACTGCGGGGCTCACAGGGCAGCTTAAAATCATCTCTATTTTATATATATATATATATATATACACACACACACATATACACATATATATGTATATATATATACATATATATATATTTCTATTGATCTCAGAGAGGAAGGGAGAGGGGAGAGAGAGATAGAAATATCAACAATGAGAGAAAATCACTGATCTGATGCCTCCTGCACGCCCCACACTGGGGATCGAACCCACAATCCAGGCATGTGCCCTTGACCAGAATTGAACCCGGGACCCTTCAGTCCACACGCAGGCTGATGCTCTATCCACTGAGCCAAACCAGTTAGGGCAAATCATCTCTATTCTTGAATTTAGATTAAGATGGTTCTACTAAGAGTTAGAGCAAAATAACCCCACAGAAAATTTTCAAACACAGCAAAAACAAGCAGGCCTGGGAGGGGCTAAGACCACCTTAACAAAACCCAGCAGACAGCAGAGGATGATGGACACAGACTCACACCTCCAGAGAGTGGGGTTCATGGACACAGACTTTCGTAGAACCATACCCAGCAGGGTAAAAGGGGTTTAATAAACAAGATGGAAAACATAGGGGAAGAGATGGAAGCCAGGAAAAAAAAAGAACCAAATGGGAATTGCAGAAATAAAGAAAATAAAACAATGTGTGTAACAGAGGAAGGGTTTAATTGCAAATTAAGCACAGCTGAGGAGGAAATTAGTAAACTGGAACATCATTCTGAAGAAGACACTGAGAATGCAGCACAGAGACCGAGAGAGGATGTGGCTGTCAGGGCTCTCCAGAGAACAGAACCAACGGGAGGTGCTCATTTTCCTACTAGAAAAGAGATGTATTCTAAGGGATTGGCTCCAATGATCATGGGGGCTGGCAAGTCTGAAATCTGCAGGGCAAGCTGTAAGTCTAGAAATTCCAGCTGGAGTTGATGTTTCAGTCAATGCAGAGGTAGTCTGTAGGCAGTATTCCTTCCTCTTCAGGGGACCTCAGGCTTGGCTTCTAGGGCCATTGTCTGCTTAGCTGAGGCCCACCTGCATAATGCGGGGGCGGGGGGGGGGGGGGTTCTGCTTGAATCAGCCCACTGCTTTCAATGCCAGC